GTATATTGTTGTGCATACCTTAAATGAACCGCACGTTTTCATTCACAAGTAATCAGAAAGAAAAAACAAGGCAGCAGTGCACCAGGCTTGCCGGTGCGATCATGCGTTTTTGCGATAAACTTGCAGATCGCTAACAATAAGTATGGTTCCCGAGCTGCAGTTGACACTTCAACTCACATTGGCTGTGTTTTTCCTTTTTCCCGCATGCAGAGGAAAGAGGTGTCGGCTGGGATGAAGGTGGTGCATTATGGGGCCGCATAGACCTCTAGAGTGCATGATCATCAGTTTTTATGCACGAAGCCTGGTCGTTTTTCCGGTGAATACTCGCTTGCTGAAAAAAGACAAACTTGAAGAAAGTCGAAAAGGGACTGTGAAATCTGCAAAACGCATTCGCTTTTGAGTCTGCAATAAAATTGAGCATTTGTCTTGTCTGCGTGCAGGGGACTTCACCTCCAAGTTGGATTGACGTGTATACAGAATATCCTTGCTAAATTTCAGCTTCGCAGCTTGTCTGGTGAGCGAAATAGCCACTTCGCTGCAAATATATTTGAAGTGCCCTAAGCCATGGCGCAAGTGCAAGTCCAAGCTCAATTTGGATATACGATTTTTTATAAGGGCAGCAAAGATTCCGACAAAATTTCAGCCACTGTTACCCAGCTAGTTTTCGAGATAGCACAGTGCAAAACTGCAAACTTTGATGTGACCGCACGCGCGTATAAGCGTGTGCGACAGCTGAATTTAAAATCTGTAGCTCGTGCACGCACAGAAAGTACCCCTGCAAAATTTCCGTCTTACATGGATCACGAATTCGCTTCCGGCCAAAGAAATCTGCATATTTTTCCGGCAGTTACAAAAACTCGGCTCGGTTGATGAGCGGCCAGTAGACAGCCGATGTTCGAAAAGCGTCTAGCATCACTGCCAAGACTATTTCGCGGCATCGCTCGCCGAAAACGCTTGGCACTTTGCCAGACGCGCTGGGCAGTGCTACCCAGCGTTTGTTGGTTGGATCATCTGGGGGCAGTGAGTGAAGGGGTTGGGCATGGTTGGGGTGTTCGTTGATAGATACCCAGACGGCTCAGAGGAAACGGTTGAGGCCAGGACAGTAGAGTGAAATGAAAGTGATGGTCAGGAATTCAGGGCGATAAATGGTAACAGTGGTTGGGGAGGGGGGGAGGGGGGTGGAGGCAAGGATTGAGGACAGAATGAAGGAGAGAAACAGGGGTGCTGACAGGAGCTCAAGACGAGAAATGCAGACAGCAGTAAAGAGAACAATAAACTAACACAGCACTATAAAAAAAAGTAAATTAAAATAAACCTGAACTTGTGAATAAAAGGAAAAAAGAGAAATCAAAGAGCTGGAGCCTGTAAACAAAAGTAAGCAAAAACTGGGTTTATGGGAGTGGGAATTGTTTTACAAAAACCCGCCTTCAGTAAGCGGTTCCCGCATTAATGAAGCTTATGCTTAGGTGAAGCTTAGGGCAAATAAGTTAAACTAGAATTGCACAAGAAATGCACACAAATCCATAGTGTTGTTTTCCGCAGCCTGCAACTGTACGCAACAGTTATATCGATGTTTTTTGCCTTCAGTATCTCACAGAAGCAAAGGCTAACTTCATTCCCGTGCAGTCAGTCGACCCTGTTTTTGCTCACCTCATGGAACTTATTCGCTCTCAGCTTTATCTAAGCATCAGTTTCATAAATATAGAAGTCCCCTACTGATGAAAAGTTTTTATGGAACAGTTTCCACTATCAAAAACTCAGCTTTTCTCGCTTTTATTTACAGAATCAGATTTGCTCTAATTTACTTTTATTTGTGGCACTGTGTCTTTTTCTCTTTACTGCTGTCTCCAGCTCTTACCTCGAGCTCCTGACTTGTATTCTCGTCCCCCTTCTCTAGCCTGTCCCCAAATCCTGCCAGTAAACCACATCCTCTCCATCCCTACTATAACAGCACTGTGCAAGCAAGCAGTATTTCATCTTTCTACCGCAGGTATCTACGGTAAAAACCAGAAACACGCTCCCTCATCCTTCCCATTCATCACCGCTCCCCTCTCCCCTTCATGTGTGCGTGACCTAGCTAACCGACAAAGGATCTACGCTATTTAGTCCTTAAACTCACCCATCCCAGCCACCTCCCCCACTTCGAACGAAACCCGCTACATACCGCCCTCAATTCTAATGCCACATTCAAACTACCACCAACCGCTATGGGGCAGCCTTACCAGCCGCCGACAGAAAAATTTTTTTGTAGATCGTGTATGGCTCCGGCCAAGCCGAGCCGAGCGGAGTTATTGTAATTGCCTTTTTTTTGGGGGTCTGCACTCGAGATCTAGACGCGTATGAGCAAGGATTTTAAAACGGAAGAGTGATACGCTGGGTGGAAATGTGGCCCAAAATTTCAGCGTCCCAGCTTTCCCAGTTGCTAAGTTGCAAATAGGTGACAAAATTCACTCGCTTCCGAACACACACACACACATACACGAAAGACCTCTCGACAATGTGTGTTTTTGCTTACTGTAGCAACGCTATAGCGCTGCACAACAAAACGCATAAAAATTGTTAATATAGATAACTGCATGTATCGGGATGGAGTGCTGTGTCCCGCGCATTAGGCGAATGCGCCAGCACTGAAAAGAGTGCATCAGAACGATTTTCAGAAGAATGCAGTGCATAAAGCACAAGGTTTTAGATTTAGTTCTTTACTCTACTTTCGAATTATTATGCTAGCGTGTATTTAAATTTGCAGCCACAAGTTAGAAACCAGCTGCTTGTAGAAACTGATTTCAAGTCATCTTCCTTCGCTTATGCAGTAAGCTATAATAAAATCTTAAAATTAGGAGGTTTCAGCCTGTTGAT